CCATAATCAAGGCTTTGAGGAGGACAGTTGCTGTTGGTAATTGAAAATGAAAAAAGTACTGAATGTCCCAGACACTTTCTATTTTAGCATCTTTCATCTCCTGCTAGGAGCCCTGAAATGTACCTCCTGTTTGTATTTCAGGCAGTAGCAATCAAAGTGGGGGGAGGGACCCGCAAACTGGAATAAACAAGCTCTAGAGGCAATTTTTGTTTTGATCAGATTCTGTTGTCTACATGAAATGGATTCATTTCCCCAGGGCATTCAGTTGCATTGCCCAGGAGGGTAAGAGCTGATAGGAAAATAGCAGTTCCACACCACACACGTCAGAGTAGCAAATGTCTGTCATTCCTCTCCCTCTTCCCAAATACATCACACACATGCATGCACGCACGCATGCATGCACATACGCACACACACAAACACTTGAACCACGCACCGCACACAGTCATATGTTCATGCCATATGCACATATCCTGCATACTCATGATGTTAAATAAATTAATAATGTCTATCAGACATACCTTTAGTGTCTTTGGAAGCAGATCTAATAGCTAATGCTTCCCTCTGCTCCTGGAGTGCAGCCATATACAGGGCTACAATTTTGATTTCTGGTTTTATCTCTCTGTGTCACGGGTCTCAAACCTGCCATCAGCAGGAGATGTCCTGCTGATCTGTGCCAATATGGTGACCTAATCTGAGGTTTCTCATATGGACGTTTTGTATTACAAAACAATAAGGTTGAAAAGACAAAACATAAGGCAACCACCTCAAATGCTCACTATTTTTTGATCTGCCTTTTGGGTTTTGCTTTCTTCAACGTCTTCCTTTCTCATTTACCTAGTTCTTGAAAGTGTTTCCTATGTGCCTTCATTTTCCTTGAGCATTGTTTCATTGACTAGCATCCTGCCTATTAGATCAAAAGTTGTCCATGATGCCACAGGGGTTCTCCAGAGTAATATCACCAAAGGGTTGTTATCATTGATAGTAATGACCTTGAAAGAGATGTCACAGAAGAATCAGCCACAGGTACCTTTAGATCCCATTACAAATAACAACCCTGAAGGGAAAGTCAAGGAAGTAATGTTTAGTGTCAGGTCAATTAATTTCCCTTTCAGAGTAATTATTTCTTATGAAAAATAACAATAATGTTATGTGTTAATTAGTTCTGACGGTGTCTCAGTGAGTTAAACAAGGAGTTAGAACATTTTATAAGTTAGACAAGGAATGAGAACATTCTGAAGCCACTCTAATAGTGAAAAAGCCAAGGCTTTTTTTTAAATGCTGAGCTTTGGCCAGAGTCATTCAAAGAAATGAAGTGACTAACATGATATTCTCTCATGACATATTTGTTTGTGTCTTGCCCATTTTCCATTGGGTTCTCTGTCTGTTCTCTGTTGTTTTGCATGTTTATTTCTTTTTATTCAGTGCAGGAGTCAGTGATATTTGATATCAAATATCAAATAATATTTGATAATATTACAAATAACTTCTTCCACTCTGGCTTACTTTTTACTCTCTTAATGGTGTGTATCCATAAACTAATGATGCTAATTTTAGTGTTGTCCAGATTATCAGTCTTTTCCCAGAAGGTTATTGTTTTGCTTTTCCTGTGTAAGAAATTTTTGCCTAATGATGTGAAGGGCTTTTTCCAAGTTACTTTTCATACTTAGTTCTGAAATCTCCCTGGAACTGATTTTTGAAGATGGTGAAAACTGTTCCTTCAGGGTAGGTTTATTGTTTTGTTCCTGAACCAATTCTAATTCTTTTCCCCTAAAATTATTTTATTTCACATTCAAATTTGAAAGACACTTTTGTTTGCTGTGAAATTTTGCACAGGTAATCATTCATTTGGCACTTTCGAAGATGCCATTGCATTGTTTCTGCCTTCGATTATTTTTGCTGAGAAGGCATCTGTAAGTCCTATTGGTGCTATTTTGATGTTAATGGATTCTTATACACTAGATCATTTTATACTTTTTCTTTAACCTTGGTTATCAGCAGTTTTATGATGACTGGCCTGATTGAGGTTTGCTTGGCATTCATTCTGCCTAGCGATCATAACACTTTTAAAACAGTGACTTGATATCCCATTAGTTTGGGGAAATTAGCCATTATATCTTAAAAATTGCTTTTGCCACTTTACACATAGGATAGACCCCATCTCATATGTCTACTAACTTTTTTGTGTATTTTTCACCTGTACTTTATATTTTCTTCTAATCTAGCTTTCAGTTTACAAGTCCCTTCTTTGGCTATGTCTAGTGGCTGCTGAATTCACCTACTGAATTAATAACTTCAATTATAAGATATTTTCCAGTTCTGGACTTCACATCTGACATTTTAAATAGTGTCTAGTTATCTGATAAACTTCTTTGCCGTGGAAATTCTCCAAATTGGCATCTAATTCTAAAATACATTAATCATTATTTTAAAAGTGTGTCTATGATATGTAGATCTCTAACATGTCTCTATATGTTGTCTTATTTTCGTGGTTTTCAGTGATTTGTTCTTATTATTCCGGAATGCCAGGAAATTTTTTTATTGAATACTGGATCCTGTGTGTGAATAATTGTAGAGATAGCTTGAAGCTCTGGGTGGTTTTATCACATTTTTGCTTCTGACAGGCCAGTGGGATTGAGGCAGAGCTCTGCCATATAATCAGGAATTGAATTGATTAAAAGTTGGACTTCAGTTTTTTTAAGAGCTGGTCTATATCAAGTTCATCTTTGCCCCCAGAATATAAGCCTTCAGGTGGCCCACAGAAGACATGAAGTACTTTTCCGGGCACCTCTTCCCTGGTTAGCTCTGATCTCCAAGTTTTGCCCTTCCGCATCCCCCAGGCCTCATAAGACATCTGGAGGCTCTGTTCAACTTGTTGGCACATGTGGAATGCTAGGCTCTCCATTTTAACAGGTTTTAACACAACCTCCTCAAGCTTGTGTTATATTGATGGCTTGCTACTGAGTAAAAATGGTTTCTTAAATAATCACTCCAGTGTTTTTAACTGTTATTGGTAGGAGGGTTAGTCTATATCATGATAATTCACCTTAGGCTGAAACCTCTTTCTCAGTGCAATTTCAATTTGCACTTCTTTTATTATGAGCAAAGTAAATCATCTTTCACAGGACTATGGGCTGTTTTATTTTTTTAATGAACTGTCTGTTAAATTTCAACTTTCTATCCAGATTTTGATCTTCTTGATCTCTATTTTTAGAAGTTCTTCATGTATTAAAGATATAAACCCTTTGTCTATGATAAAAGGAATATTTTTCCTCAATTTATAATATTTTTCTTCTAAATATTTCTTACGGTATTTTTTCCATCCAAAAGTTTACTATGTTTGTATAAAATCAAATGTTTCCATTTTTTCCTTATTCTATTTTGAAGCATAATGAACCAAGATTTCCTGCTCTGAGGCTTAGAGAAATCAATCAATGATTTCTTCTGTAATTGTGCCTACAGGAATGTGTTGATGAGAAACTGAAAATGGCCCACTTTTTAGAATTGGTGGAGTGAGAAAGGATATGGTATGGTTTTAAGTTGGAAGGTTCAAGTTTTGTTTCCCCTTTCCCAACATCATCCTCAGGAACTAATGAAAACTTATGGGTACAGTTACTTTCACATTGAAGGCTTGGGATCTGTCTTTTTTTTTTTTCTTCTGTTATCCTTTTCCTGACTTCTCTCATCTACTTTCATTCCATCAATGTTATTTCTACATTGACATCTTGCAAATATGCACATGCCTACTCACAATCCTCCTCCTCAGGACTGGATGCAAAAGCTTATTTGGCATCTCCACTTATATGGCCGTGTACTTCAGACTTCACATCTAAAATGGCTTTCTCACCTTCCCCCATTCTGCTTGTTTTATATGTCTTCAAGTACTGACCCTACCATCCATGCACCGGGGCTCAGAGATTGGTCATCTTTGAGTCATACTTCATGATTGTCAGCTTCAGTAAATCATTACCAAGACTGCAAGTTCTTCTTTGAAGATATCTTCCTTTGAAGAGATTACAAACTGTAACTTTACCATCCCTGCTTCATCCTCGCTAATACGCACAACAAATTTAACATACACTGAGCTCAATAAGTACTCATGTAATGAAAATGAATTCAACTTTCTGCTTTAAAAAAGTAGAAAAACAATAAAAATTTTGAAATTATGGATTTCCAGACCTTTTTCTGTATCTGTACTTCTCAATACCCTTGGCCTTAAAGCTGTGAAAACATAATAGATTTTTAACTAAGATGTAAGATACTATTGTCCTTTGGGCTATCTGGAAAATTTCTCACAATAAGAGAAAACAATCCACTTACTACTACATTTAAGCATGTTGTATAGTTTCAGCCACAGCAAATGGATGACACACCCTCTGAAGCTGTGCAGAATAGAGATCAATCACAATGAAAATTAACTAAAGACTTGATTCCCAGCAATTCAAAATGGCAGCATTTGAGACTGTCTCCTAGGAAAGCATCTAAGCTATTCATTTTATATTTAAACACAAAAACCCTCACTGCTAGGAAAATGAATTTTTCAGCTTTCAGACATGCCTAAAGCAAAACAGGTTTTCTTTTTTCCCTTTTCAAAGGTTAAACTACATAAACTCTCTCTCTCTCACCCCCCCCCCTCTTTCTCTGTCTCTCTCTCTCACACACACACACAGACACACACATACACACACACACACATCCCTAAATTTAAATTGTATGTTGTTCTGATTAAACTGAGTTTCTCTGCTTTCATGCTACCAGATTTTTAATTTGAGAAATTGTGTATGTATGTATGCAATTACCTCACAAATTAAAGAGAATTTAGATGACAGCACTAAAGAATTCAGGCAATTCAACCCACTATTTCCTCCCTTAACCTTTTCTGCAAAAGAAGTTGAATCCCAGGAGTATTTTTAAATTTAAGAGGGCAATGGAGGGTGACAGAACAATTGGCAGTCAGGCTGTTCTAATTCTCTATTAATCAAGGACTATCTTCCTTTCAGCTCAAGGCGAGGACACACCTAGAGTTCCTGTGCAAAGCGAAGGCTCTGGCTATGCAGAAAACTCTCCAAGTCTTGATGGTAAAGTTCTGAGCTATTTGAGCTCATGTAAACTACAAATCTGACACATATTCTGTGTGTAATCTAGGATTAGGGGAGCTACCTATTCTATGCGGCAACATATTCAGTTAGAACAAGGTAAAGTTCAAAAACCATGTTCTACTAGGAACTAATAAAATTGGCAGCCTTTGGGGAAAAAAAATGATGCTAGCTGTTTTAGAACACTATATGCCTCAGGTTGATCACAGTTTGTAATATGGAGGCCATGGTGGATAATTCCAAGGGTAAACAGGACTGAAGTCCAGCTGGAGAATATTATGGGAATATCGCTTGCTTCTGAAAAAAGTACTTGCCCAAAGTTATCCCTGCTCTATAGGGGCTCCAGGAAACATTCAAGAGAGCCCTGGCTTGGTTTTGGGCTAAGATTATCTTGGACCTTTGTCCCTTTACCTCATTACATCACTTCAGATGGCTTAGCCAAAAACATAGTGGATCTTTAAAACCACCTTAGCAATCAGTTTACAAAAAAGTCTCCCTTTATTCACATCTCATTTTAAAGGCATCTGAATACTCTGAGCCTGAGGAATGTTAATATACCCTTGCCCCTGTATAGCTCAGCTGTAAAGAAATTTATCAACATGGTTTACTGTTGCCTTTCCCAAACTTATTTGATCATAGGATGCTTTTTATATTGACATTTGTTAATAGGTTTTGGAACCAGTGACCCTTGGGTTGGAGGAAGAAACATAGAAGAAAAGCTCTCTTATATTTTATTCTGCATGCTCCCTCACTAAGATGGGTGACCCTACAACAATTTCATAGACCAGGATAGAAAGTACATACATTATTCTCCTTATATAGGTAGCATTGCTGCATCTGGCCGGTTTATACCCGGGGTTTAGAATAAACTCACACATCATTAAAAACCAGATGGTTTGCAGGTGGAACAGAGAACTGCTTTAAAACCTTCCTCCTTGAGAAAGATAGGTGGTATGCCCTTCAATGTTTTTCCCTCTTTCAAACCTCTTTGGAGTGTGAAATTTGCCACTATTTGCCACTATTTTACTTTAATCGAGTTTTCCTATTTGAGAGAAAGAGATTTGGACTGTTGATTTTGTGCAAATAAATGGAGACTACCCGAACAAGAACAAGCAGAGGTTATTCAGCTGAATATAGCCCAGGGTGTCTGCCATTATGACTTGTGTTTGTGGACTCAAAGGCAGGCAGGGAAGTAGGAAGCCTTTATAGTTAAGAAAAGATTTCAGACATCCTTTGACTGGAGATCATTGGCATGGGGAAGCTAGATTTGGACAAACTAGAAGTGGGTGATTGGTTTGGGAACATATTTGGCTTTCCCTGTTTGGTCCTGTGTTGGAATCATGGGGCAGGCTATAGTGAAGCTGGCAGTCAATGCCCAAGTCCTGGCCATCCTAAGCTGATTGCTGCAGAGGCTGCAGTTGGGTTGCCCCGGCTGGTTGCTGCAGAGGTTTTTCATCAGTTATATTGTTATATATGGTCTGGCCATTGTCCATTTGTATATTGTCTCCCCATTTATAGTATGCGCTTTGATGCTTTAAAAATATCCATCTAATTGAACCTACTGACCCTTGAAAATTTCCAGCCTGCTATGCCTGCTCTGGAATACTTCTGGACAATAGCATTAATTACGCATTCTGTTTTCATGCAAATGCTCCCATAGAACAATACACACAGTTAAAGTAAAAGCACACATATCATCATTGCTGTGTGACCCGGTTAGAGGTTTTGCTTTTCTATTGCAGGGCATCCACTGCTGCTGCACCCATTGGCAAGTTTGCAGGGTCTGTTTTGAAATTCAGACTTGAAAACTTAGCAAACCAAACAGGCCTACTGACACTGCCATTTTAGAGCAAGCTGCTGACCTCTCTGCATGTCAGTAATCTGCTTTGCTTGGTTTTCTTTTTATTTTCTTAAACATCTATTAAGGCCTTTGAATTTACCTCAGGATGGTAATAAATACACCTAAAATGTCAACCCAAAAATCTGGTACAAAATGACAACTCAGCTTCTACAGATCCTTAAGAGGCAATTCTGCCCTCCCTGACCGCTGCCAGTAAAAACCTGCAAAAATTAGTCCCCAAAATCCTGAATGAGTGAAAACGAAGTGAAAAGAGGCATAAGATAGGAGATCAGCAATGTAACCACTCACAGACCATTTTAATGTCACAGACCATTTCAAGAGATTTGGATATTTTTTTTTCTAGAGATTTTATTTATTTATTTGAAAGAGAGAGAGCATAAACAAGGGGCAAAAGAGAAGCAGGCTCCCCACTGAGCAGGGAGCCCAACTCGGGGCTCAATCTCAGGACCCTGGAATCATGACCTGAGCCAAAGGCAGATACTTAACTGACTGAGCCAGTCAGGCACCCCAGATTTGGGTTTAATAAAGATTTAACCTTTTTTGTTTTCCTTTCTGGTTACAGTTGAAATGAATAGTCAGGTTGACAGTGTAAATGACCCAACAGAGAGTCAGCCAGAAGATTAACTAATAGGTAAGTCACCCTGTAGTGGGATTTTCAATTGATTAAACCAGCCATGGGAAGTGTTTGTAAATGACATATTGGATTTCCCTCGGTCCTGCCAAATCCCACAGCGTGGCTTGGGCTAAACTTTAAAAATCTTTATACCAAATGACACAGTGGAAGGAGCAAGGATAACCCCAAGAAACCTACCATCCCCTAAGGGAAAAAGATAAGCTACAGCATATTCAAATGTGCAATTCCCTGGTTTTCTGAGTTTTGATAACAGGAAAAAAATGTTTCCATCCATCTAACCCCCTGGCCTCCTGGAGGGATCAAATTATTTCAGCAACCCCAAGCTGATTCTGAAGCATTGCTTTTCCAGAAGCTACCTGCTGAGTTGCTTAGTATATCTGTTTTTAAGCATAACACTAAATTTCTGCCCTGGAGAGTGTGGAAAAGCACTTGAGTGCGTTTAGGCAGAAAGAAGCCTGACTTTTGTCCTATCTTGTCACACTATGACCAGTGGGCCTGTGTGTCTGCACAGGGTTTGTTGAGTTGAATGAGCCTCAGGGAACTCCCCAAGAAAATCATAGTCTGGGTCAGATCATGTTTAAGAGACTTTCCAAACCAATGTTCTAAATCTCACAGCAGCCTGAAATTTTTCTAAAATGATGAGCGGTCTATAACCTTTTTCCATATCTTGAGGGCTGGTGAGAAGAATTAGAGAGAGGTCAAGCTCACTATTCCAACTCCTAGCTGAAAATACTAACTGAAAAGAAACTGGTGGGATAGACTAATTGTGGCTCATCTGCTCTAAGAAACAATTGTGCTAGCACCATTGCCTCTCAGCACCTTCCTGCACTCCCTACCTCTTCTCAGTAGGTCTGTGCACTCACTCAGAAGACCATGTTGCACCAGACTCTTGAGCTCCAGCATCACAGCAGAATGAAGCTTGAGAATATATGAAAGGAGGCATCTGTCCTTCCCATCATGGTGTTGAACATCATTTAAAACTAAATACAGGGCAATCTCAGTGGCGCAGTGGTTTAGCGCCGCCTGCGGTCGGGGGCCTGATCCTGGAGACCCGGGATTGAGTCCCACGTCAGGCTCCTTGCATGGAGCCCACTTCTCCCTCTGCCTGTGTCTCTGCCTCTCTCTCTCTCTCTGTGTCTCTATGAATAAATAAATAAAATCTTTTTAAAAAAAAAACTAAATATAATAGCATTTGTGTAACACACATATAGCATAGGACTGCTAAAAAATAAAACTCATGCAAATATGGTCTTATAAGTGTTTCTTCTTCTTTCTTTAACCTTGTTCATGTATTTAAAATTATCCTGCTAAGCTGCAGAAATGACATGGAAGAGAAGTTTCCATTAAAAAGTAATGAAGTGAGACTAAACCTGAACAATTTAAATGCAAGTTCCTCAGTGTTGCCCTACCTTTTGCCCTTTTATTGCCAACAAACTATAGACTTCTTGTCTAGAATTTTTCTTACAGACACTATTATTTTCTTGTATGATCAATATCTGAATAAAGTACCCAGATAAATGTTTTCCTTGGTTACTGTCAAAATATTTTCCTTGATCATAAACATGAATAAAGACCTTTACCCAAGTGAGTAAGTTGTCAAAACTTAAAGTTCAAGATTAGTTTGAGGAAACTCAATTCCAAGAAGAAGTGACTTGCATAGGGTCACTTGGCTGATCAATGGAAGTTCAAACACTTCCAGGACAAAATTATTTAATGATACCATACTGCTCCCTAAAAAACAGTGAGTTTCTAGACACCTTTGTCATAGAAAACAGTGTGACCCAAGGAATTTTAGTGACTCCCACAGAAATATTTACCCAGTTGAGTTTGTAGAGGTTATATGGTAGTTTTTTTTTTAAAAGGAAGAAGGAACCTTTAGTTCTGTGCATCATACCTTCAAGAAATTAAAGAAATACAGTGAAATAGAATTATAATTATAGATATAATATATATATTGCAAGGATATAATATATAATGCAATTATAATGCAAGATATAATGCATTTTGTGATATAATGCAAGAATATTGGAAGATACAATGCAAGAATACTTGTGTTTTATAATTTATAATTGTAAAAAATCAGGAATATCATAAATGACAATAGGGGAATGATTCAATAAATCAATAGAACACTTTGTAAATGTAAATAATTTTTCAACAGGTATTTGAGGACATGTAAATGTAGTTATAGAACATGAATCTTTGGTTCTAGAGAAACATGGCAGAAGATCCACTTTAAGAGGCATTGTAACTTGCATCTTTATGCTCTCAGAATGCTTGCTTTTGGAATTTATCCTGTAAGAAGCCCAAGCGCTAGTATAAAATGAGGAAGGCTCCATGGAGAGAGGTTCTGAAAACTGAGAGGCCATTGTGGATGTTCTGGCCCCAGGGGATACCATCTGGAGCAGATAAACTGCCCAGCTGAGCCCACATCAGATTACAGAATTATATAAAATAATGAACCATGATGTTTTTAGCCATTAAGTTTGGAGGGGGGATTGTTATGTAGCAACAGGTAACTGAAAAGATAGGATAATGCAGAACATTTCCCAATACAAATGTTTAAAATGAGAGATAACTTATAACAAAAAATCCTTAAATACATAGCTCAACTGACATGAAAGCAAAGGTGCCAGAAATAAAGAGGAATCTGAAAACGAAAGCACTAGTGTGGTAAGCTGAAGATGCATGCGTTGGTCCTAAGGGCTGCAGTTTGGTTGTTGATGCAGAGATATGACCTGTGGCTAGATATTTGCATTCTAATGCCCACTGGGGATCTGAAGCCACTCAGCAAAAGATGTTAGAACTAATATCTCTGCAGAGATAAATCTGGGATTCAGCTCAAGAAGTTAACAGGAGACTTGTGTCTGCCCAGAGTGCTGTTTGGAGGAGGGAAAACGTTCCAATGACAAGTAGAAAACACAAAAGCACCATGAATTTGATACATAAACTTAGGCCACCCAAAGTCAGACAACAATAAACAGAATGAGAAGTATATCTAATAGCTGATTATAGGGCAACATTATCCCTGCTATAGATAACAAATAGAAATGTGAACTGATCACTTGGAATTCCTACAGAAGAAAAGCAATTCTCTGAAGATGAATTCACAATTTTAAGACTTACAAAACACACAAGGATGTGATCCACCATGAGTGAGTATCAGTGGGTAAAATGACAGGATGATTCGCATTCTGAAAACCTGAGTAGAAAATTCTTAAGATTTTATGGAATAAGTACACTTACATGACAAAAAAGCCAAAAAGCCAATATAAAACTGTAAGTAAAGGACAACAGTATGAAAAATTAAGAACAATTTGGAAAAAGCAAATAAATATATAGTGATATGAATGATATATGAGGAGACATGAGGGCTAGAAGGAGAATGACCAAGGCGTTTATCTTCAATAAAAGTTCTAAAAAGAGATAGTTGATAGTATTTGAAAGATAACGTCCGAGGATTTATCAGAAATTGATAGAAGTCATTAGTTTTTAGTTAAAAGAAGAATAATAAGTCACAAGAAGGACATGTTGAAAATAAACCCACACACAGGCATTGCAGAACACTAGAGACAATGAGAAAAAAAGTAAAACAATTACAGGGAAAGGAGAGTTAACCTATAAAGAAATAATTATGATGGACACAGCAGACTTTGCAACATCAACAATTTAGTTCAGAAGATGGTGGAATAATTCTGAGTTTTCAAAACATGAATAAAAACAATTGTCAGTATAGAGTTCTATATGAGTTTCACTATCATGTAAGAAGATAGTAACTGCCATTTTTCAGTATAAAAGTTTGCTACTCACATACCCTTTCTTTAAAAGCTACTAAAGGATGCACATCAGTAAGAAGAAAACTGAATCCAAAGGAAAAGTAAGTTGCAGGAAACAATTGTAAGCCAAGGAAAATGGTAAACACCAAGGCAAATCAAAATATATATTGACTATAAATTTATAATAATAATTAGTAGGTGATTAAAAACAGGAAATTACTATTTATGTGCATTTTATAATACATAAAGTAATACTACATATTTTCTATTATGTGTGGATTTGTGAATATATATTTGTGTAAAACTAGAAACATGTTTTACACTGATGTCAGGATTTGGTAATCTCTGGGAAGGAAGAGAAACAGTTTTAGCTTATCTGTGAATTAAATACACTTATTCATATATACTTTACTTGTAGTCTTTTATTTTAGAAAAGTAAAATAAAGATAGCAGGGAAACTTGAAAAATATTAGCACATATTAAATCTGGATAGGGAATATATTCTAGGTATGTTATACTGTTTGTAAGTTTCTTTACATTCACAATTTTCATTTTTATTTTTATTTTTTTAAGATTTTATTTATTTATTCATGATAGAGAGATAGAGAGAGAGAGAGAGGCAGAGACACAGGCAGAGAGAGATGCAGGCTCCATGCCAAGAGCCCGACGCAGGACTCAATCCCGGTACTCCACAATCGCGCCCTGGGCCAAAGGCAGGCGCCAAACCACTGAGCCACCTAGGGATCCCCACAATCTTCATTTTTAAAATTAAAATTTATAATTGTGTTTCTATGTATATTTAGAAAAATACTATAAGGAAAATACTCTATAATATTAAATACAGAAGTTATCACCTATTGAGGGTATGTAGTATTTTTTCTTCTTATCTGCTTTTGTCTATTTTAAATGCTGTGTGCAACAAGCATGATACTGATTTTATATACATATACACACCTCAAAGTGTACTTTTTTTTAAGATCCATAGGAACACCAGGTAGAAAATTAACTCAGAGATCATTTGCTTCAGTTCTTCTGTGTAGACATGTAGTAATTTATGGTGATAGAAATCAGATCAATTGCTGGTTCCAGCAGGAGTTAATAGTTGGAAAGTGAACTTTTGAGGAAATGGCAATGTTTTATATCTTGATAGTGGTATGGGTTAAATGAATGCCTTTGTTCAAAACAGACTGAAGTATGCTTAAGATCTATGCATTTCCCTCTATGAGGATTATAACTCGTCTTCTAAAATCTAAAAAAAAATAAAGAGTATCTAAGGCATGTATCTTCTTAGAGTCCTCTCACAAGTGGGGAACCCAGCAGAGACTTAATAAGATCTCACAGTGGTGGGATAGCCATCAATGACTTTTGCAAATCAGCATTGTGTAAATTGTTATTATTCCTGTGTTGAGCCCTGGAGACTAGAATGTATGAAGGGATCCTTGAAGGGAGGACACGTCAATTCAAGATTAGGTTTTTCAAAGAATACTTTGAAGAGTTGAGTTCATCATCCCCATTAGGAGAAGCAAGTTGTCAACGTGGCATACATTTATTAGCAGTGATTTATGTGCTCTTTAAAGATAACCCTGTGCCAGCAATTACAGCTCAAATATCCAAAGCTTTTTGATGTAGTCAAGGAAGATATTCCTAGGCTTGTTTGGGGGTTAAGAGATGTTTAAATGTCTATTAAAAAATATTCCTCGTGAAATCTATGAAATCTGTGATCTTTAATCTAACAAAAGGTTTCTTTTTTTCGTTGGCAGGGGCACAAGATGAAGCAAAGGAATAAAGAAATGGAAGTAAATCACAGTCCTCAGCATTGCAGGCCTCTCCTGGCCCTGGGGTGGGGTGGGTATAGGAAGACAGTAGTGCAAGCTGTGGAGGAGGGGGGTGTGGGGGGGCAAGTTCCACAGAAGGACAGGGAATCCTTTGCTCTAATTTCTCCAGCTGCATTTTGTTCTGTTAACCTGCAGAAAAAGAAAGAGAAAAAGAAAAGAAAAGAAAAAGGTTTCCTTGAGCTTGGTGAGGGGACCCCTGTTAATGCATCTTTCAGGCGCTATCCCTATAATTTCTGTTTTTCCTCTCACGACTTTTCCCAAGGTCACAGTGGCACGGTGTAACACTCACATGTGTATTCTGGCCCCTGTCTGCTTTCTCGATTATTTCACAAAGCTGGTCGATACAGTGGTTTCTCCAAAAAAAGAGATGGAAGATGATTGTTTTGATAAACTGCAGGCTAAATTTCAGGAATCATCAAGCCCAATATCAGTATAATCCACAGACAAAGGAGGCAGGATAGAAAATGGGCAAAATGCTCAGAAATCACTTGGAAAAAAGGTCAGGACGATGAATTGAAAATGATATTTTATTCAGGGATTCCCAAGGTACAATTCTGTTCCATGTGGTTAATGAGGAATGCAGAAGGAGAATTTCATGCAAAGAAGAGTGTAGAAGCATAGAGGCACTACAAGGAAGGCAGGCCCTGGCAGCCATTGGGGGCTTTTCCTTCACAGCCAGGACTACAGATGCATTCTTTGACCCCGACCTCCAGCAGAGCTCACCTGGTTCCTGAGATCCTTATCCTGTGCTTTGGCATCTAATCCACTAGAGAGATATGACTCTGTACAACACAGTTGTAAAGGATGACACTTCTCGAGGTGTTTTAGTTAAAAGAGGGGGCTGCTGCATTTAGAATCCAAACATATGCCTATGAATATTAAAAGTTCTACTTGAAAGCTCTCGTTATATATATGCTTTTCATAAAAGAATCTCTTGTCTTTACCCAAGGTTTGATGGCCTACAGAAAGATTTTCATTTGAAGTTATAGGCAACTGGAGGTCTTGCTTGCAGTTCTGGCTTGCTTTTAAATATCTGGTTTGCTCATGCCAAATACCAAACTGCTTTGGTGGCTCATCCTCTCTTCCACCCAGAGATCCCTTGATTATGGCTCTGAAGGGGAGAAGCAGCATTAATAAGTCAAGACTCCAGTGGTATGGTGGGCCCAAGGGATAAGGGGCCAAGGAGAAAGTCAGAACTTGCCACAAATGTCTGTCCCAGAGACAACATCAACAGCGACCCTCACAAGGCAAAATGCCTGCTTTCCACAGCTTCCCTGGGTTCTCAGAACAGTCTTTTTTTTCTAGGGGAAACTGATATCGTTTCTTGCATAGCTTCTTAAATCCACCTTCCTTATGAGGTCTCTAGAACTGTAAATTATTTATATATTATTATATATTTTTAGTGGAGAGAGAAAAGTAATGAATCAAATTGAGTATTTCTAAAGAAAGGGAGGGGAGTTCTGATTTCTAAATATTCCATGGTTCTTCAGTTTTGCTCTTTCCTCTATGGAAAATTCACTTCCTTATCTGTGAATTTTGCTCTGGCCTTTCTGAATTTGTTGCCCTTCTGGATGACTTATTTGGTATATTGGAATCATTAGCAAGCTATATTTCTGCATATGTAATATGTTCTCACATCCTATATTTTAAAAAAAACTGCTTACCAACCTAACAGCAATGATTTTTAAGGGACCTCATGATTTTGGAACATGATGCTTTTTCCTTCTGCCATTATTGTAGAGTTTGGTACAGAAATTTATATGTCCCCTACTGCCATTAGATATTGCTTTCTAGAAAAACAAGAAGTCCCATTTTAAGTGATCCAAGAAATGATGCCATAAAAATACTGATAGTTTCTATATGTCATATCATCTTTATGACTTCATTGAAAGTTGCCATCATTCTGGGAAGGACCTGACAAGAGCAATCTGCTGGGAGCACGTTTTCCTGTGACTCTCATGTGTTACTGTTCATGCTCAGTAATGAGTTACAGTTGAAAACAACATGAAGGAGGCAAGAGGGATGGGGACTTCTTAACGGGCAAAGATGATAGAGACTTAATGTCCCTGTTAGGACCAGTGGAGATCGGAATTATTGTGGGTGGGGTGTTCTCTTACTCATCCATGACAACCATTTTCATTCATTCATTTTAAATGTGGGTGGGGTAGGAGTGCTAGGAGGGATTTCTCTGCCTGAAAACTGCCAGAAAAGGGAAGGAATCTGAGAACAAAACTAAGAGAGGGAGGAGTAAATATCGCCCCACTGCTGGATTTATCTAAACTTTATTTTATGATTAGATTGTTTTCATTTTTGCATTGTTATGCTTTTGGTTGCTATTTGATTTTCAGATTTCATCCTTAAAGCAAGCAATGAGGTTACTTTCCATTTCAATAGTAAAATCTAGCTGTTGGCCAGATCTGAAGGAAGACACCTCAACACAAGAAACCCTCTTTTTCACTGGTGCTGTCACTGAATAGGCTGTCAATGGAAAATTTGAAAGGCAGATTAATTCTCCTGCAAAGGAATCCTGGATTTCAATTTCCAGTCACACTTCTGACAGGCTATGTGGCATACGCATTTACAGGAGGGAGAAGGGGGGGAAGACTAGTCCCAGATTAGTCAGGTTTGCATATGGAGGATCAAAGGAGACTCTCAACATAATACAGGTATCCTTGCTTTTTGAAATTGCATGTTGCCACTTTGCTTTTATGAAAGACCTACATTCGTACCTCCTACCATTAACCTAAAGAAATCCAAAGGGGGTTTTCGCTTTTAGGCAAACTGCAAGCAGGGGGAGTGGCACCGCCAAGCTCCTCCCCTGGGAAACAAGACTCAGCATCTCAGCCTCAAGCAGCTACTAGCTTTGACCTGTGTCTGTGAGCATCTGTACTTCATCTCATTTTATTTTGTGTATCCACTAGCAAGATGTGCCCTGTGGTATCAGAAAAGGGTCTGGGAAGGCTCAAAAGTATTTCCATATAAACTAATGGTAACTGTTTCTTTGCTTTACACCATTTCAGCTTAGGGATAGGTTTCATAGGAACACTACTTTCCCATAGCAAGGGAAACCTGTAGTCCTAATTAGAAAGGTAGTCGTAAGAGAGACAAAGGGGCTTTTCCTCCAGCTAGTAACTATTCAGATGATGGACAAGACTTCTTTCATAAAAGCTTACAAAGGAGGCATCCAAAATACTGTCTGTGATAGTGGGTCACATATTAGTCACTGCAGCTAATTGTAAATCTTTCTATGAAATACTGAAAAGCCTCTTTGTGAATTAATACAGTTCTGCTTGATGCACTTGATTTGAAATGACTTTTCTCTGTATGTGGTGCATGTCAGCTTTGCTTTGAAAAATAACAAAGTTAGCAGAATATGTTCAATATATTTTCTTGGGGAATAGGGTTTTTATCATATGATTCATTAAGGATTTGCCTTACCCTGACATTTGTGATATAAAGGAAAAGAAAAAAAAGTAATTTTCTTGATCAAAATATGTTTTTACTTAATGCAAATAAATGTAGTCTGTTGCTTGCAAGGAAAAAAAATGTCTTCTGATATCTGGTATAAACTGCTAAATAGAATAATACGTGCCTCTTTTGTTAAACCAGCATTTAAATGCTGGACTGCTTCTAAATCTGTTTGTTTCTTTTCATCTGTGCCATACACTAAGAAACTTAAACAACTGTTGCCTTCCTACTATATTTGTTAGAGCAGAATATGAATAAAATTGGTTTGAGAGGATAAGGTGGAATTATCTGTGTCTTGTGAAATTTGTTTCTTAGCATAAGCAATTAATAACTCAAAGTGTTCCTTTAGTACTATGTATTTGGTTGCAAATTGTGTATTTAAAATTGCCCCTATAAGGTAACTTTAACTTGCCAAGTTTTCCCTTACTGAAACTGGTCAATGTTTTGGCCATGTTTTTCAAAATTAGGGGTGCCTGGGTGGCTAAGTCAGTTGAGCATCCAACTCTTGGTTTCAGCTCAGATCATGATCTCATGAGATTGAGCCCCACATGGGGCTCCATGCTCAGCTATAAGTCTGCTGGAGATTCTCTCCCTCTCCCGCTGCCCCTCCTCCCACTCACGTGCTCTCTCTTTCTCTCTCTCTCTAAATACATGAGTAAAACCTTTTTAAAAATTAAACTATAGAATAGTGTGTGCAGACTATTTTTTTCTCAGAATGCTACAAGATAGCTAATTACCCTAGCGATAGGCTCTGAGGTGCAAGATAGAAGTTATTGAGATGAAGACCATGATTCCATGAACATTGGTTCATCCTTCAGAACCCATCATCCATTACTGGAATTCTTTTTGAGAACCTTTTATGAGCCAGCCACTGTGCTGGCTATGGGATCCCTACAACCATGATCTTCCTCAGTCTATTGTTGATGGAATTATGATTGAATTACACAATTGTTAAAGAGTTTGGCAATGGATCAACAAAATCACTATGGGAAAAATGCAAGGTTCTTTTGAAAATGGAAATCTGTGTTCCATCAAATTTAACTCCCTCCATCTCCTCCAGAAAAGGTGTTTTCAGTTTTACTGTTCTAGAAGGTAATAATGGATGTCAATCCCTTTATCCAACAATAGTTGATAGTTTAGTTGTTAGAGGAGACTATGTTTTTTAAAACTTTTACCGGAGGAGCATTTTTCCAATAATAAATGAAGAGAAAAAAAAAAGATAGTCTCATGCTGTAATGGACAACCTCAACACAAATGCCTCAGAGTGACAGCAAAGATAATTTGACATGATTCTAGCATTGCCAGATGCAGTTTTTTGTGACATCCAATTTTCCATCTCTTGGCCTATCACTCCTATGTTTCTCAAACCGCACTACTTCTACTCCTTTGCCTTACTTCATTCAAAGGTGTCATTAAATGTTGCTTAACTTTACTAGTGGTGCTCAGGATGAAAAGAGACAATGATACCCATTTATGTGGTTCTGGCCAGGACTCTGGCCCAGCTGTGGGGCTTTGAGAAACAAAATGCCTCCACTCTTGGTTTGGCATATGGAAATACTGATACATTCCTGAACTCCCTGACAAATTTTAATATAAAGTGCCAAG